TTTATTAATTTCATTAATTATTTTTTTTTACACAGGGCCTGTTTTGGTATAATTGTTGTTTTTCTATACCCAAACATTGTCATCTGTTTCTCCTTGTATTGCCAGGTCGAGTTCTGGATCAGCTCATCGAACCGGGAAGGCTACGTCTACCAGCACAGAGACCTGATGATCTCAATGTTGTGTCTATGTCCTGCGGGAGAGCACACTCGGCCATTGTGGTGGAAGACGAAGGAGGTAATGATCAAACTACTGTCGTTAAAGATTTGATATTGTCTGGAATCATGTAAGGATTTCATTGTTTCTTTTATAATTGTTTAAACAAGGATTAGGCTACATGTTAGGGTGTTTGTGTTTAAGAGAGAGAGAGAATATTTATATTTATGTGTATACAAATTTGTATCCATTCATATAATGGGTATGCATGGATGTTTTTTTATTACATTTCAGTTGTATTTCAAGTACATTAATGTTTTCGTCTTGTCTCAGTGTTTACCCTAGGCAACAACGCTAGTGGTCAGTGTGGGCGGCCGGTAGTAGAAGGCGAGGACTTCAGGTGAGAAACGTCAGTTGTATGACCGGCACTTTTGCATCTTCTGCTCCTTCTACTTCTGTTCAATTTTCTTATAATCCCAATCTGTACCTGTGGGTGGTTGCCAGGTGCTCTGGTGTGGTTTGCTCCTTCTTTCCTATCAAACATCTATCGTCCTTATCTTTCCTCCTTCTTTTTTGTGTATGTTACTCTCTTGTAACACATCTATTCTTCAGTACTTATATGACCTTATTGTGTTGCAAGTGCCGTAAAACTCAATATACAGGGTTTTAGAATATACCAATATGTCTCCATATACCTAAAACTTGACGAGCACCTGATTCCACACACATATCATTTATCCAGGATCATTTCCTTTGTTTATAATTAGCAACTGAACAAATGGAAGTGCAATTCATCATTACATAATCAATTCGTTTTTCCGTCCAGTAAAAACCAAACCGTAAACAAGCTGCACGACCTTCCCGAGGATGTTGTCAAGGTCAGTGTAAAGTATCGAAGACCTTATTTGATTGTCAATCTTGCTTGACCCTTCTAGGCACTTGTGGGTCTGACTTATGGCAATACAGGCACCTCTGGATCTAAAAGACTCAAGGGAAAGCTATAGACTAACAACTTATATCCACACTTTTTGTTGTGTTATTCTTCTACATTTCCTGCCAGGGTAATAGTAATAATAATATTATTAATAGATTGCAGTTACATAGCGTTCTTTCTCATACTAGTATAAGCTCTGAGTGCTTTACACCAATCACTTGATCATTTAACACAAGAGAAAATATTTCACAGAAACAAGAAAAACCAGTTCAACTTTCACAGCCATACATTAATTATACACATGAAAGGACAGTAGTAAAAACAAAACTTATCAGCACTTAATAACACACTTAAAATAAGAATTAAACAAATGAGTTTTGAGCTATCTCTTAAACCTATGAAAATTTGTTCTTTCTCTGAGTTCCTGGGGCAAGAAGTTCCAGATTTTAGGGACAAAAAAATGAGAAATTTTTCTTGCCAAAAGATTGTAATTTCATTCTAGGGGCTCTGAATTTTGTTGCTTCTGTTGATGGTTGCAACTGAGGAGATGGAACATACAGTGTTAAAAGCTCAGCTAGATATGATGGGGCTTTATCGTTAAGACATTTATAACAGATGGTAGAAACTTTGCATTGGATTCTTTTATCAACTGGAAGCCAATGCAGAGCTTTTAACATTTTTGATGGAGGATCTTTCTTCTTTTTCTTCAGCACTAGTCTTGCAGTGTTATTTTGGGCCACTTGCAATTTCCTCATTCGTTCACATGAAATGTCCGACAGAACAGAATTACAGTAGTCAAGGGTGGAAGAGCAGAGTAGCTTATAAAATTTTAGTATGGGATAGAGCGCTATGTTAATGCAATCTATTGTTATTAATAATAATGTAGTGTACTTTGATTTGCTTTCATAAAACCATGTAATCTATTAGTTGACATGGTTTTAGTTTTCTCTGAGCTTTGGCGGAGGCCATTTATAATCTATGAAAAGAAGTTTAATGAGCCTCCTACTCAAATGCCTTTCTGGCAGAGTCAAAGCAACCCACTTGACTGATCTACAATGTGTTAAAAGTGGTGTAAAACTATGATAAATTACAACACCAATTTGTTGATCAAAGTAAACATGCACGCTTTTCTCAACTTTCGTATGCTCGATTTGCAGGTGGTGTGTGGGCAAGACCACACGTTGTTCCTGACAGCGACTGGCCAGCTGTGGAGCTGTGGCCTGGGAGCCGACGGTCAGACCGGTCAGTAGGGGCTAGGGGAGGAGGGTCAGAGGGCACCGTGATAAAATTCGGGCCTGTGGCACCAACCATTTAACTCCAAATTTCTCTCTGATGTTTTAAAGCTTTGAGTAGCTGCAAAGAGGTACCATTTCTGTTTCTGTTTCTATCCCCACTGTCAGACAAATGCATGTGCCGAACAGTCATCCGATCAAAGCATCTGTCGCTGTCTCTCGCCACCAGTTTCTAGAAAATCGGTTTGTTCTTTCTCCTGTGATATAAGTATGTCTGGAGACTCAGTTAGTCTGTGCCTTAGGCGGTCTCTATGTGTTGGTTGCTCCAATTCTTTGCATCGTCTCATCAAATAATCATGTTTGGTCACATTGATGGGCTTTTCTTGTCTGGTTTGATCATATTATCCATGAATTTCTTTTGTCTTAGTAAATATATATCAATGCTTTTATTTTGTGTGAGTAAATAAATCAATGCATTTCTTTTATCTGAGTAGATATATCAATGGGTTTCTTTTGTGTGAGTAGATATATCAATGGGTTTCTTTTGTCTAAGTTGATATATCAGTGGGCTTCTTTTGCCTGAGAACTGCCTGATCATTGATGTGGAAAACGTCCTTGTCTCCCATTGAAGAAGGGGAAAGAGGATTAACCACTATAGCTTCTTTGTAACTCTGACAAGTATTTAGGTTGGGGCCTGCACATAAGTTTTTCCTCCAGCTGTGGTGTAGTAGTTAAGCAAATCTTCGTTGCTCATAGAAGATGTGAGTTTGATTCTGGAGGTGGGAAGTTTTACTCCTTTGCTTCTGTCTGTCTTGCTTTTTCCCAGCACTAAATGACCCTTATTGTAGGCTTGTGAGTCTGTTTACTAAAATTCCATGTCCAGTCTGTCCTCTGGTGCTCTGGTGGGGTTTGCTCCTTCTTTCCTATCAAACGACTATGGTCCTTTTCTCTCCTCCTTCTTTTTTGTGTATGTTACTCTCTTGTAACTCATCTATTCTTCGGGTTTTATATGACATTAATTATTGTGTTGCAAGTGCTGTAAAACTCTTACTAAAACTAAACAGCCTGTCCTGTGTGTCTCTGTATAGGTGTTGGCCATTACAACATCACCGCCAGACCTCAGCTGGTGCGGGGCGATGTAGAAGGGGAGACTATTGTGTCAGTGAGCGCCAAAGGAGACTGCACATTGGCTGTTTCTGGTGAGTCTTACTACCCTACAGCTGAGAGAGTTAGAACGAGGAAATCACCTCTCTGCAGGGGGGGGAATTCCATCCTATTTATTTACCTGTTTTGTGTAAATAATTTCATAGTCTTAATGTTATTTTCATGTGAAATGTTGTGATTTTTTTTTTGTGGTACTGTTTATTTTGCCTCTCCTTACAAGGTTGAAAAGTCACAAAGGATGTGCAACACCTCTGATTATGGAATAGCTCTTAAAAACATCCTCCCTAAAATGTTGACTCATATTATTTACTTTGATGTATTGTCATCACTGCCTTTTTTCTGCCTGACCTTTATCTTGTCTCTTACAACTACTAAGCATCTGTCTTTTTAGAATAACATATTCCTGTCTTATATGGTTTTCACTTTTATAAGAATCAAAGACCCCCCGGGGCAGTGCCACTGACTGAAGTGTCTTTAGGCCATTCCCAAAGGGGGGACATTTCTCGTTGAAGCATAGTAGAATTGTAAATGGGCTGATTCATGTCACGCTCATAACTATGCCTGATCTACAACAGGGAACTGCTGCTTTTTCTTTCCTGATCCTTACTATTGTCATTTTCCTCTACTTTTTTTGTATGTTAGTCACTCTCTTGTGAACTGCTATTTCCGGGGTGCCTTGATAGTCGAAGCTGACCTTGTGTTGTTGAAGCTAGAGAGGTGAGCAGTCTAAGTCTGATTCCCTGTAAAGACTTCTCTGTTGACACCCACCCCTTGGCGCTCATATAACCTTATGCAGTTGCGAGCGCCGTAAAACCTCTACTATAAAAAAAAAAGAATCAAAGTAAAAATTGTTATTGGTCCCTAAGGAAAAGACTCAGCATTGTTATTTCTACTAATGCAACAGAAACTATCTCCCTAAAGCATGCGTAAAACTCTAAGACACACCCTTACAGCTTCCCTGATTATATTGATGAAGTCTTTCCTTTGGAGCATATCAAGGAAGTCAAGATTTGAAGGGAGATGAGTAGTACTTGAGCAGTCTACTTCCTCTCTGTCTACCCTTGGCAAATCTATCACAGTGCCACTCTGCCTGAGCTCTCGAGCGAATCATGACTTCATTTATATCATCGTTAGTTATAGATGCAGGGTTACCATTTAACTAAGACCGTACTGAATGTCTGATCAAATCTGATTGAAGGTTCAATACATTGACATTAAAATTTGTATATGTAAATCTTAAATTTCTGATGAAATGGAAAGTGAGGCATAAAGCTGTGTATAAGGGAGACAACTGTACTTCAAATCTGTCTCAATTTTACCTCCCCTTGACAGAATTTTATAATCTTTTAGGAAGCAGGCAGCTTTGACCCTGTCTGTCAGGACCAGTTTGGGCTGAGGGGGGTCAAGGCATCAAAGCATACGGAAGGAGATATTAGATTTTAGTAAAAAGCCTCACCTCTCGGGAATCAAACTGACGTGTTCATAGGGTAAAGAGTGGAGGTGCAGAGCCAAACCATCTGCCACAGATGCTAGTAGAATAGGTTGAGTGGGTGGTTGGCGGATGCTCTGGTGTGGTTTGCTTCTTCTTTCCTATCAAACATCTATCGTCCTGATCTCTCCTCCTTCTTTTTATGTTTTGTTACTCTCTTCTAACACCTCTAATCTTTGGCTCTTATATGACCTTATTGTGTTGCAAGTGCTGTAAAACTCTTACTAAAACTTAAAAAAAGAAGAGTTTGAGTTTAGGGAAAATAATGGGGTAAAATTCACCAATGTCCATATGGTGGTAAGTTGTTCACCAGTCCGTGTCTAGATGATGGTAAGATATTCACCAGTGTCTAGATAATGGTAAGATGTTCACCAGTGTCTAGATGGTGGTAAGATATTCACCAGTGTCTAGATGGTGGTAAGATGTTCACCATTGTCTAGATGGTGGTAAGATATTCCACCATTGTCTAGATGGTGGTAAGATAAACACCGGTATCCTGATGATATCAGTGTTGAAGTCAAAGTAGTGTAGACATCTTGAGGTATAACATATCTTCTTTTTTTTTTCCTTCCACCCTGTGTACAGATAAAGGCGACTTGTTCGGCTGGGGAAACTCGGAGTATAGCCAACTTGCCAGCATCACGAGTGAATCGCAAGTCAATGTCCCACGCCGTTTGCCGACAGAGATTTGTGGGAAGGTGGTCAAAGCTGTTGCTGGGGGCTCGATGTGTGCTCTGCTCAACGGTCAGTTTTTGTTTGTGGCGCTTGCTTTGGTGTGCCTTGTTTCTGTTGATTAGGGTGGTTGGAGGGTGCCACTGGTAAGTTGAATTTCTTTTCCTCTCCCTCTGTTGTTTTTGTCTATCCTCCAAGATGGCCATCCATTATTGAGGAGAAAAGTAGTTTTCTTATAAAGGTGGACATCTTGATCAGTGTCATTATAATGTAGGAAAAAAAAACGCGAGGGAAGAAGTCAGAAGTGGTTGTTTGTACAGGTAATTGTCTTAGACAGGTCACAGGAATTAAAACAGGCTCAACTGTATCTGTCTTTCTTTTCTTACTGTACTAAGTAGCAGTTATTATGTTCGATGCTCTTCCCTTTTTTCAAACTTGCTGAGAAGTTTTGATTTAGAGAAAGGCACCTGTACCCCAGGCTCACGGTAACCAACAGTGTCAAAAAGGACAAGAAAACAACCGTTGTGCTTAAAAAATGTTTTATTGTAAAAACAGACCGGCTTTTGTCGTGATATACGCCAGTGGCAGTAACTGATGGGTCATGACACAAACTCGCCAACAGTAACGAATTTTCACAACTCGTAGATAGACCTAATCAGCTAGATAGATGTTTTCATCACGACATGTTCAGCTTTTCAAGTTTTTGTGCTGTTTTCTTAGACTTTTTTGTACAATTTCAAACTGACCAGGCAACTGACTTTTCGTATCTACCTCAACAAGCTATAGCTTTTTCATGGTCTTTGCTGCTGTTATAGATATTCATAGAAATTGTGTTGAGTAGAAGCAGTGGAGGGGGAGAATTTTAGAATTTATATGACATTATTATAGATTTAACCGTCACTAGGTGGGCATTATATACAGTATATCGGTAGTCTTATTTCTAACCATATTGACAGGCTAGAAATAGGATGTCCGCTGAATGGGGAAATAAAGTAAAGTATCCCTAACCATGTGGCTGTTTTCTTGTAAAATTTTTGGCACACAAAAAAAGCACATTCGGAATTTAAATGAGATAAGACACAAAAGTGAGACACTGGTACTTTTATACTTGTAATATTTATGCTGCATCCAGACTCCTGGTTTTTACTGAAGATCCAGATTTTCCTCAGCTATGGTTTCAGAGAAAAGTGTGTGTGTGTGTGCATCTGTGTGCGTATATGTGTGTGTGTGTATGTGTATACGTATGTATATGTCTGCTTGTGTGAGATGATTTGCTGTGGTGGTATTAAGTAGGTCAACCGATAATGGTACTCGTTGTTTTATCCAAGTAAGGCCATAGATGCTTAACAACAATCTGATAGACTTGGTCAATGACTGACCGGTCCAGAGGCTCCACACTCAGTCCAGCTTGTCGTACATGCAGCAGACGTTGGTCAGTGGATGTGTAAGCTGGCCAAGAGACTCCGCCTACTGGCCTGGGCGTCGGTGTGCCGTATTTTGCAAAGTTGCTCCACATGGTGACAAGTTCTTGAGATAGTGCTTTGTCCTCTGTGTTGGAGATAGATGGTGATCTTTGGTCTTGGTTACCGAATAGGAAAGGAAGTTCGCAGCCGTGAGTCGCTCCCATCGTTGATGGAGTGGAAGAGAAGGGTTTGTACGAGAACTTATAGAGGAAGTGTTTGGCAGGTGCTTGGTTGGACAGAATGGGACCTTGGTTGCGAGGATTTTTATTTAAAAGATCAGCTTCGAGTACTGTGGGTGTGGCAAACATCGTGTCAGAGATAACATTGATAAGTTTTGATTTTCTGGCTATGGGGTCGGTGATGTTGGACAAAAAGACGATCCCCGCATCTTGCAGGATGAGCCGTTTGTCATCAGGTTTTGTCCAGGAACCGATGAAACTTCCGAGGGTTTGAAGAAATTCCTGTTTGGTTATGCCGTCGTTGTCAGGGTCAGCAACCACCGTGGCCATCTCCTCACTGCAGAAACCTTGCATAGTGTCCACATCGTGGAAGCGTCCATCCCTCAGATCTGTCAGGGGTGATCTTTTCACCAGCTCGTCCCCAGACCGTGAGTGAGGAAAAATGTCAAAGTCGTCAGGGTCGAGATTTTTGTATACTCCTACACCAGCGTTCAGGATTTCCTGTGTGCTGAGGCTCCGCAGGCATGCAAGTAATTGGAAGGAGGGAACATTTTGGGAGGAGGAGGAGGAGGATGATGATGCCGAACAATTCAAATAGTTGAACAGTAGTGTGGAAAAGCGGGGTTTGGTGGCGGCTTGATGCGGGGTGCGCACTGCGCTGGGGGTAAGGGAAGACCCGCTCTGCATGATGACGCGAGAAAACAGCCCCTGGGTCTGGACCGGAAGCATGAGAAGGGACGCGCTGAATGCACCTGCACTCTGTCCGAACAGCGTGACCTTGCTGGGGTTACCGTCGAAGGCTTTTATGTTTTGGTGTATCCACTCAAGGGCAAGAAGCTGTTGCCCACGAAGAAGATATGAAAGGGGTAGGGGTGGAAAGGGGATTGAGTTTGAATAAAGAGAAGCACATTGATACAATCACATTCATTTAGAGATAGAAAAAAGTAAGACACACAAACTCCAAAGTAAAGACACGAAGTTAACATGTTGGACCAATCAGCGGCACCCTTTAAACCACCCATGAAGAATTGATAGAGAGAGTTTATTTATGTAATGCTTTATCGTACTGCCCAAAATTGATGAACTGAACTACAAAAATGATGACTTGAAACTTGAGTGTGCGGTGCAGTGGTTATGCGCTTCCATTATATTGTGCCCTCTGGTGTTTGAGTAATGACCCCATCTAGTCAGAAGTGGGTAAAGTATTATTTACACAAGAGCTGAGACAGAAGAATTGAGCTTGTGAGGCAAGCCGAGAACTGGGACTGTGAGACAGGACAAGAACTGAGACAGGACAAGAACTGAGACAGGACAAGAACTGGGACTGTGAGACAGGACAAGAACTGAGACTATGAGATAGGACGAGAACTGAGACAGGACAAGAACTGAGACAGGACAAAAACTGAGACTGTGAGACAAGACAAGAACTGAGACTATGAGATAGGACAAGAACTGAGATTGTGAGACAGGACAAGAACTGAGACAGGACAAGAACTTAGACTGTGAGACAGGACAAGAACTGAAATTGTGAGACAGGACAAGAATTGAGATAGGACAAGAACTGAGACAGGACAAGAACTGAGCTATGGGACAGGACAAGAACTGAGACTGTGAGACAGGACAAGAACTGAGACTGTGAGACAGGACAAGAATTGAGATAGGACAAGAACTGAGACAGGACAAGAACTGAGTCTATGGGACAGGACAAGAACTGAGACTGTGAGACAGGACAAGAACTGAGACTGTGAGACAGGACAAGAACTGTGACTGTGAGACAGGACAAGAACTGAGACTGTGAGACAGGACAAGAACTGTGACTGTGAGACAGGACAAGAACTGAGACTGTGAGACAGGACAAGAAC